CGTGCATCAGATCAGAGGAAAGAGATTTATTCCTAGAGAAAGCGAGTGACAGACTTGAGGTTTCTTTCAAAGTTGTGCATTTTGGCTGGTATCAAGAATGTTCAAAGACTAAGCGAAGACTAAGCTTATAAGTTATGTTCCTTGAGCTGCTGAATTGCAATTCTGTTTAACAGTTAAATTTCAAGTCTCTTTATACCAGTAGGACTAAAGTGCTATTGAAAGAAACAAAAGCAGAAGGAAAAAGAATAGCATTAAATACCACTATCAATATGAAATGTGGGCTGCTGAAGTATGACAGGCAGGTACATTTAATTAAGCAAATTCTTAACTATTGTCTTCATGTCCTTTTTTTTTACGATTGCATATTTCAGCCACTTATATCTGTCATAGACTTAGAAGACATTCATATTAAGAATATGAGGCTTACACTTCTCATTGGATTGAGAAATATCTCATTGCATTGATTCTTCTTTGCAAAGAGGAATATAACTGACTTTTAGTCTTTAAAGTTAGAATTAAAAGTGCTAAATATACATGTATGGAAATGTTCAAAAATCTTTTTTTTTTCAGTCTGTAAGGCCAACCAATCATGAAGGCATACATATGGGGGGAGAGTATTGTCATCAAATCAGCCATTTCAAAATACAACCAGAGAAAATGGAAAGATTAGAACTACTAAGTGGTGGGAAAAACTTGTTAAAAATGGAAGAGAAACTCATAAAATCAGTCTTTTAATACCAAGCAATTTAGGAAGCTGCAGTTTTGTTTTGCCTAGTTCTAGACTATCTGTTGGCATTGTATTCCTTCTGAACAAGAGATTCAAAAGTATCCTCTGTCTGACAAGACCAAGTGGCTCCAGTATCCCAGTACAAGTAGCTTTGACTGCTGTAGATCAGACCACTGAGCAGCACATCAATGGGAACACAATGGTGGAAAGTTGGTGTCATAGTTTCTAACTAGGATATGTGTACTCAGTTCTCGTTCATTACCATAATGACCTTTTACTCTCATTTCTGTCTGCTCTGGAATCAAAGGCAGTTTATTTGGTTTAACAAATGGTTAGTGAGAAATTATAGCTATTTTCTTCAGGGAGTGTGGAACTTAGAACTGGAAGCAAAATCTCACAATTAACTATGTAATATAAACAGATTAGATGGGTTGCTATTGATAAAAATTAATAAGAACTCTAAGATATCACATGAACTTCTAAGGGGAAGAAATGAATTCCAGTGGGATGAGAGCATAGATATGAAGTGGGGATTAGTTCTGGAGTCCCTGCTTGGAAACATCTGATTCTGCTGCAGGGGGAGGTGGGATGAACAGCTTAGAGAGCTACAATCATCAGTGGATTTTCAGCAAAGGTGCACAGAACTCTTGCTTGGAATAATACCACCACTTACCTAAAGGCTGAGGAGACTGGGTTTCCCACAGACTTGACCTTGAAGTAGTTATAAATTTTATCTTCTTTAAGGAGGCAATTTGATTTGTATGATGTGGATATTTGAAATTATAAAAGGTATAAGTTATACATAGGCACATTGAGAAAACTACATGATAAAATTAAAACTAGTTGTTTTGAATATACAATGTATACCACAAATAAAATAACTTGGTAATAAACAATCATCTGAATAAATATATTTCTTTGAAATGCAATCTGTCTAACTTTGCTTTTCAGCAAAATTCCAAATATCTACCTGCTGTAGGCCCTCAAGGTTGAAATCATTAGGAACACAAATGTTATTTATTTCCTTGGGTGTGAAGAGTTTATTATACTGCCTAAATATCATTTTAGCCCTGGTTGTTTCTTTATGGTAAGGAGAATAATGAAATATATCATGTTCTTGCTTCATTAGAAAACAGTGAATTATGTAGAAAAGATCATGGAAGAGGGGTGTTGTTAAAATATCTGGGTATTTTTGGAAAATAGGAATATGCCAGTCTAGGGGGATATTCAGAGTTTTCACAATTCACAGTCCAGAACAGGGGTGTACCTTGAAGAAGGAAAAGGAAGCTAGTGTTTACTGATTGACTGCTGTGGATCAGGCATTGAGCTAGATGCTTTTCTGAAATCATCCAGCCTTAATCTCTCTATCCATTCAAAGACCTGTTTCTTTTTTCTTTATTTTTCATCATTTTTTCCACTCCTTTAATCTTCCTCTTTTTTCTCCTTTGGTTTTATTAAATATTTTTGAAGCAAATTCTAAAGATCATGTTTTTTACTCCCTACATAATTCATATTCTTTGCAATATAAATATTTTCTTATATAATCACAGTATCATTATCACATCCAAGAAAATTATAATTCTTTGATACCTTCCAACACCCAGTATATAATCTAGGCAAACATCATTCTGTGGTGGGTTTACTTGATTCTGGATCTAATGTGGTTCACACATCACATTGATCGTTTTGTCTCTAAATCTCTTAATCTAAGACCAATCTCCTTCCAGTTTTTTCTCTCTCAGTTGTCCTATAAAATTTTCACATTCTAGTTCTGTCTGCTTCTTTATAGTGTATTTAAATGTTAAGTGTAATTTAATTTAATTTCATCCTTCACATTTCCTGTATATAAGTTAGCTTTAGAGACTTGATTGGTCTGAAGTTTAATATTTTGGGCAAGAATTCTTCAAAGGTAGGCTGTGTGCTTCATACTGCATCCTATCTGTAGGCTACCATGTCTGATTATATCACTTCTGGTGATGCAAACAAAAATTGCCTTTGTCTGCCATTGTAAAGTTCCTAGTGGACTTTTCAGGAGATTTTTACCCACTGCTAATCTTTAGCTAAAGCAATTTGACTCTTTGGGTGCAAAATGCTGGTTTTCTGATTCTATCATTACTTCTATGTTTATTCCTTGGGTTTTAAAAAATATTTAAATTTTTTTCCTCATCAATTTGGGCCCTCTGACTTCTTTGAAATACTATTCATACAGGAAAAGCAGGATAAACATTTATTTTATCTTTTAATTGACAAAATTCTAGATAATGTTTTAGTGCTTCAGAGGGAGCTATTTTTCTTTTCCATTTTACAGACAGAGAAGTTCACACTCAGAGATGTCAAGTCAATTGTTTAAGATCCTAATAGCTATTAAGGAGCAGCAATGGTGTTCAACCCTATGGTATTCAATCCTGGCCTAAATGCATATGTTATTTCTTCTACCCCTGACCTCAATCCCCACCAGTTGCTGACAGGTAGGGGTTGCTACTGCAAATATGTCCCAGTGCTTTGCCCTTTAGAAGCCAAGCTTCAGGAATACTCCTTAGCAGATATTCTGGGCTATATAAACATAGACAGTACTCCAGAATTATAGTTCCAGATAAAGGTGCTGACCTGGATGGTCAAAGCCAGAAAACGTGTTAGAGTATTTAGTGGGAGAGACTCTGAGGCATTGTATTTTATGCTTTAGGCTACTGTAGCAGCCAAAGTGTGAGTCATTCTTAAGTTTTGGTTGGAGCAGATATACGTGACCAGAAACATTTGGATAGTGGTCAGATGTTCAGATGACTTAACATTTTAATTCTCCTTATGTTCTCCCATTTCTCTTACCTCCTCCTTCCCGCTGCCATTCCAGATTTGAGGAACAATTTAGCTAAGTGCTTAAACATTATTTTGTAATTCCTTAACCTCAGTTGACTGTGTCCCTGGCTTCTGTCCCCATTCCTTCCCCTAGGAACTGTGGCCCTTTAGTATCTTAAGTGGTATTAAAGAAGCACAAATGACTTAAGCTAAAATAAATTTAGGAGATTTTTTTTTTGAGCTTCATGGTGTCTACAACATCATGGGCTTTCAATGCTGCAGTCTCTGCTGACTTAAAGAACATTTCCCAAGATTTTTTGTGCCTTTAGTGGTACAAAACCTTTTTTTTTTTTAGTGTCATTCACATTTCATTCCTTCCATCAACAAGGCAGTCTACACTAGAAACAAATGGACAAATAACAAATCCTAAAATTGTTGTTGGGAAGGTTCCTGTGCTTATTGTGGACAGAGTCCCTATCTCAACTCTGATGGCCCATGAAGTACCTCCAAATAAAGAAGTCCCACTTTCCTGCTGCCCTGAAGGCCTGTACCCAAAGTCCCTAAGTACCTACATTTTACATTATCAGACAGAAAGATGTATGCTTTTGCTATACTTGCTGCCAGTGGACTGTAATTAGCCCCTTGGAAAGATGTGATAGCTGTAAGCACAGGTCCTCTGAAGGACCTAGAAATCTAGAAAAAACAGGAGAAAAATTCTTCATTGTGCATTAAGAAGATTAAGTCAGGTACAGAGAATCCAAATGTTCAAAAGAATGGTAAAGGAAGATTGAAAATGTTCTATCTTTTGAAGTAGCCTCCAATTATGTTTATGTATTAGGATTCCTTACAGAGTATCTTCCCAGAGCTATCCAATGACACTTTCAGTGATGACATTAATGATCCATATGAAGACCATGAGCTTCAGTTATTGAGCACTTGAAATGTGTCAAGTACAACTAAAAACCCCTAATTTTAAATTTTAGTTAACTTCAATTAACAAAAATTAAAATTAAATAGCATATGTAGCCAGGGGCTACCATATTAGACAATGAAGATCTAGCTGTTGTGCTTTTAACTTTTTATATCTCCTCATAACATATACAAATTGGGACTATTGTAAAAGTGTTCAAAATTGAAAGCCCTGATTTTGTTAATCTAAGTGATACATTTTCTTTGTGAAATTAGATTTGTAATGGGTTAGAAATTCAAGCTTCCTTGCTTAGAGGAAAACATTTATATGGGACTAATGTAGAGGGAAAATTAATTATGCTCAAACTTTGATTTTTTTAGTTTGTATGAATTCTATGTATTAGTGGTCATGGCTGCGCGACAGTATGCAACTCAATGCCACTGAAGTGTACACTAAGAAGTGGTTAAAGTGATAATTTTTTTGTTAATTTCATTTTACTACCATAGCAAAAATTAAATACTTTCTCTTATTTTATTGGGCCTGATTTTGTTAATATTTCTCATGCTATAGGCCTCGCTAAGGACCTGGTCCTGCACGTTCCTGGCTGCAGTGTGTTTCTCTTTGGTGAAGCAGACCTGCCTAAGAAGCGCAGTCTTGTTCAGAGAAGGAAGCAGCTGGGCTGGTTCACAAGGAGGGATTTCAGTGCTCTTGAGCCTGACCTGGGAGCTGCACCTGCCCGAAGATGTGGTCTAACAGGTTCTAAGTGTGGTCTTAGCTCTGTTCTGTTTTTTTTTTTTCTATTCGTGATAATAGCATCCTGAGGACCCCTTGTTTGGTCAGGCCCTTATAATGATAGGAGAGTTACTTACATTAGTGGCTTCTCCTTGTACCTGGTGAGGATCTTTTTTCAGTTCTGTCCCATACTAGGCACTCATAAGCTCTAGTGAGCCTTACTGAAGCTCTTGTCAGGTATTTGATGGGGCACCCAGGGAGGATATCAAAGGTATATAGCAAACCCTGCAACATGACCTCTGAGACTAAGAATGGATGCAGATCTGGTGTCAGGATCCTAGAGGCCCCATCTCTTCTGACTGTGGATCTGTGTCCCCAGTGTGATGAAGATACTCAGGAGATACAAGGAGTGCGGACTTAGGTCAAGGTTCCTTCTAGCTGGTAGGAAGATATTTCAGTACTTGGGCATCTAGCATGACCAAGTTGGTGCTTACAGCTGCAAGTCCGTTCTAGCGGCACCCTGGAGCAAAGCTTTTCTAGACAATGGGATTCTAGAATAAGAAAGCAGAAATACCAGAGAGAAAGGTATTTCTTTCCCCTGGATCTTATCAACTTTTGCCTCCCTTTGACATTCTGGCCTTCACCCCCCACCTCATTCTATAGGGATTACCTTAGAAAAAGCAAAGTCCTGACCCTGTTACCTGCACTCCACTATCCTAGGGTCTTTTGAGTCTTAATTCTTTCATCTAAAAACTCTTGTGTAAATGTCACAAAATAAGCCATGTTGGGTCAGATTTGGGTGGTTAGCTAATACCTTAGCAGTTACTAAAATACCAAATACCCCAGGAGCAGGAGGATGAACATAAGATACACATTTCTTATGGCACAGCTCTGCCAAAGCCTTCAGAATCATTTACACATAGACATAACTCCAGAATTCTGCTCTTAAATAAATAATATATATGATCACCTAGAGCTGTGCAATGAAATACACAGGTTTTAAAGCCAAGTTCAAATCCTGGTCTATGTGACCTTGGAGAGTTTCTCAATCTCAGAAAAGTTTAATTCCCACATCTATAAAGTGGACATTGTATTAGTGTCTCCCTTATAATATTGTGAAGTTGAAATAATGTCTGTTAAGTGCCCAACACAGTAGTACTAAAGGGTTATTTTTCTTTCCCAATAAAGTGGAGATTTATAAAAATGTTGTTATAGATGTTTTTTGTTCAGTATTTTGTTAGAGAAAAAAGGAAGAAACTGATTGCTCTCTGCCAATTTGACATATTTTTCCATGATTTGTCTCACAAATGGAGATGTGTAAGTTTTATGACTAAATTTTCAGAAATCTATTTCCTGGTTTCTAATTTGAGCCTTCCTAAAGACTGAAGGGATTATACCACAAATGTAGTCAGCTCAGTGCCAGGTGGGCTGGGATTACAGTCAGTGGACAAGAGTTTGGAAGAGGTATTCTAGTGTTAGAGTACAGAACTGGTTTTAGCCTTAGGTTCAGCATACATATCAATTCTCATTTTTGTTGTGCTGTCAGAATAAGTTTTGGGAAGAATTTTAAACTGATCTGTATGTCACATCTGAGTTTAAGACCAAATGCTAATATCATCCCTATTCATATTTAATCTCCCAAGAACAAATGTGTTATATAATTGTTTAAATCAAGGTGAACATTGCTTCCAGTCTGATCTGTTGATTGATTACCTGTGGTTGGAATAATCAGTATCTGTACTCCATCATTACCTATTTTATATTGTTTGATTTGAAATGGACAACCCAGGGGGATTTCTGATTTTTCTCTATTTTTATTCCACATGGTTATCTGTGATTTACATGCAGAATTTCATCAAAATCTGTAAATCTCAAGTTAAAACTTTAAGATGCCAAAATTGGCACAAAAATGTTTAAAGATGATATTTTAAAGGTAATATTTAGTACTGGTGATGATGTAGTTAGAGACACTCATTCTGCCAATGCTAGTGTAAATTGGTATAAACTTTTTGGAAGTGAGTTTGTGAAATGTACCAAGAGCTCTAAAAATTGCCTCTTAGGAATTCCAGTTTTAGTGATAAATCCTAAGGAGATAATAAAAGGTATCAGTACTTAAGCATCAGTGTATTTATTGAAGCATTATTTATGAGAGCAAATTCTGGAAACAATGTAAATGTTTGTTATTTGGGAATGATTAGCTATGTCATATTCTCCAGAATTAAGTTTTAGAAGAATTTTTAGACATGGAAAATATAATCTAATATAGAGAGAATTTGTAGTTAATTGATGCAACAGATACATATTCAGTAAACTACCAGGCATTATCATCAGTGAGCAAAATAGAATTCATATGCTCTCTAAGAACTTAGTAGTTGGGGGAGGAGTAAGGAAACAGACAGAAAATAAACAGCTTAATAAATAAATGAATTGTATAGTTTTTTAAAAAGTAATAAGTGTTAAAGCCAAAAGAAAGAAAGAAGGAAAAAAAGGAACAGAACAAGGGCATTACAAATTCTTCGGTGAGAAAAATTATGATTTTAAAATGTGTGATCCAATTTAGGCCTCATTGTACAATCAGTATATGGAACACAGACTGGAAGGAGTGAGTCCAATAGCCCACATTGGAGATGTGAGGAGATTTAGGCAGAGGGAATAGCCCCTGTCAAGGCCAAAGCATAAAAAAATGGTATAAATAGTATGATCTCAGTATTGTAAAATACATATGTTTATGTATTTAATTTATATCACATATGCATTAGAAAAACATTTTTAAATTTCTAAACTTTCCAGCTTATTTTCATGACATATTTAAATCAATCTTCTGATTATTGCCATCATTTTCCTTGAAGGATAATTATTAAGGCTTATCAGTGGTTAATTTTATACAAGCTACATTTCAATGCATTTATCCAGATTAGATTTGATATATAATTAGTGATAAGAAGGGAAAAGTAACAGAAATCTTTTCCCAGATGTCTTTTTTCACCAAGATATGCTGACCAAAAGTAAAAAATGAGTTTGCAGAAGAAACGTGAATATTATGAGTTGACCATCATTCAGCCCTTATTTAAGAGGCTCAGGGAGGGTGCTAGTAGAAGAAAAATAAAATGCTTTAAGAAGGAATAATTCATTTCTAATAATCCACCAAAACATATAGTCATTGGAATTTAAGACTCAGCTGAAATCTTAGGTTACCTTAATTGCACATATTCTTTCTTAGAAACATTTTATCAAGAAAGAAGTAAATTGTTTTCATCTTTTGAAGTAATAGCCATTGAAATAGAATTTATAACTCTTGTTTCAGTAGGGTAGAAGTGTTATTCATCCAAATTTTTCAATGAATTTCATTGCCAGTAATAGCATTTTTCCCCTTATTTTAAAAAATTTAATGGCTTTATATCTATTTTTCTAACCTTTTTTTGTTATGTCAGTGTTTTCCAACATATTTTTCCATTCCACTCACCAAAACAGAAGAACCTAAACATATTGTTTTTGTCTTTTCCTGAAAAAATTTAATAGATATGACTGATGCTAACAACTGAACACAATTTGTCAACATGCCAGTGACAGTACCCAAGAGGAAGCAGAATCTATAAGGATACAGGATTCTGTTTTGAAGTTCCTGAAGAATATTATAAACAGAAGAGAAAAAAGTGAGCTCAGAGATGGTTAACACCCTTAGTTAGTGCCAAACACACAAAATCTTTTCAGCCAAATTCCTTCTAGAAGTTTGTAGTTGGCCAGCTCATGGGGAACATAAATAAGGGCAAAGTAGTAATAGTTGATACTTTTAGTTCTATAAATAAATACTTTATACATACATATTTAGAAAGCCTAAGCACTTATGGGATAATTTAAACATTGCTGTCTGATATATTGTATGAATGGCCTGGATTTGGCATCACTGTTTAGAAATACAGGGAAAATTCTTTGAACTGTAGTTTCATCTGATGCCTCAGGAATCATAGAGGGAGGTAACTGGTACATCTTGGAACCAGGAGTTTCTGTTAGTTATTTAAATGGCTTACTGAGAAGCTTCCCTTGCTTACTTCTTTCTGCTATAAATAATAAATGCATCATCAGGCACTTTCTTGGACATTGAATAATCCAATTTGCACCACACCAAACATTCTCCTGGTCTTTGAAAATAATTCCTAATTTTAAAATAAGTCTAATTTTAAGAAGACTATTTTTATTATTTTTTTGATTATTATTTTTTTTTTTTTTACCAGAAATCTGTTTGGGATAATGGAAATGAAGGTCTCAGTATGCAACTAAGTGTTTAATCTACAATGGACACATGATGACTTAGATTTTGCGTTAATTCCAAAAGGGCATTGTCATACAGTCGAAAAACTGGGGAGCAGGCAGGTCACCTGGGGGTCCCCTCATCTGGTCTGGCTTCATTATATGACGTTAATGTGTACCCAGTTCTGTAAAAAACTTTTCTGAATTATTGTGACTCTGAAAGATTTAAGGTCTAAAAATTGAGGTTTATAGCTCCTCCTGGAGCAGGAATACATCGTAGTCATTTGCAGGACAGCTGAGCAGGGACAGTGTCCTGTCAAGGTGGAACTTGAATTCAGATCCACAGGGAGCTCTTCCCATCCCTGTACTGCACTGTTCTCTCTTAGCTTTCCTTTCTGTTGGTTCAGCTACATGGATGACTGTCCTGCATTCTTCCTGCTATGGGGGCATTGGACTTAGCAATTATGTTTGTTTTATGGCTTTAGTCATCAAATGTCCAGTTTCAGCTGTGGTTTTTCTTTAGTGCATGTTCTAAAAAAAATTTAAAGTCCCAATATGTAATGATAACTAATTTCTTTGGTGTAATAACTGTTTATATTTTTGAGCCTGAGGTCCAAGTCCAATGTCTTGTTCTGCTTGTTACTCTAAAATGAATACCACAGTTAGGCAAGAGTTTTACCTTATTTTAACCTTCTTCATGTTTTATACCCAGCAACCTGCCAGCAGGTTTCAGGAAAAAAAGTAATTAATGAGGGAGTTGAATTGGTCAAAGAGAATCTATTTACTCAAACTGTGATATAATCTACAAATTATAATCTATAATCTCTTTTCAAGTACAAAAATTGTCAAATATTTGTACCTATAACATTACCTCCTCTTGTGCATGAGTTAATACTAGCCACCAAAGAGGGGCTTGATACAATAAATAGGACTTCTGAAGATATTCGTGAGCAACTTCTGACCTCCTAAACTGAAATTCATTTCTATGGAGTGAAATACATAGAATTTTTTCACCTTTGATTGATTGAGAATGATAGTGTCTGGAACTATTTTTGAGAATAATTTTGATCTTCAGGGGAAAAAATACATGTATTTCTTCTGAGTGCTGCTTTTTCATTTTTTTGAGTGGGCTCCTTGCTATTGTTTTGTCTGAATACAGTTTTTTATTTGTGTTATTCCAGACGTGGTCCTACCACAAGCATCTTTAAACCAGACATTAATAGCATAGTTCACAGTCATTACTGTCAGTGCTCAAACACAAATATTGCATTTGTGTTTGCAAAAGCTACACATCAGATGTTAATTAAGTGCATCTGAGTTTTTTTTTTCCCTGCTTAAACAATCTGGCACAAAGGGTTTATATCTATATCAGTTCACCATAAGGTCTCCACAATATCTGAATCACCAGCCATATAGTATATGATAAATACAGTGTTTCCACACCAGAAAATAACAGAATTGTCAGGAGAACATCAGGCCTGTTATATTTCTCTGTGAAATAATAGCAACTGAATCTCAGTTTCTTTTTCTTTTTGATTAAAAAAAAGTATTTAACTAGGAGTAAACACCAATATTTAGAATGATAAATTTTTCATTAAAGAACACATGGAAAGTGAAACCATACCAGAGATTCTTTTCCTTGTTTTAGCTTGCTTCAGGGCGTTGTGACAGTTGCATTGGAATAAAATTGGAATTTTAGCCTTGCAGTGAGGGGATTCATGCTGCCACCAGAGCAGCCGAGTGCCAATCTGCAGGAGGCAGGAGAGGAGCGAAACCGCAAACTGAGAAACAAACTTTCACATCAGGTTTCTAATTTTAGAGCAAAAAATGGAATTACTTTAATTATATGACATTTAACTAGAAATTCGATTTGCTGGGATTAATTATCTCTCTCATTTAAAATACCTTCTTAGTAGGTTTAAATTAACATAAAAAAATCAAATTTAGCATTTAAATAAGGTCAATGGGACTGCTGGATTTAAATGCAGAATTTGATTTGGTATAATTGGATCACCATATTGGTTTTGACTTGGAAAGATTAAGTGGAGGAAATTGGAAAAGCATGAATTTGGGCAGAAAGAGACATTTTCTTTTCTTTCTTTCTTCCTCTGCCTCCTCCCTCCTGAGGAAAAAAAAAATGGGTCATGGCCTCATAACCCCTTGGAGAGAAAACTGCCACCCTGATTAGGTCAACATCTCAGATTCACTAACTGTCTCTGTTCACTGCCTGAGTGAGATATAGCAATAAAACCAAATAAAATTTTTGTGTAGATGAGGTTTGATAGAATTTAAAATATACATATCAAGAGCATATGTGAAAAAAATGACTATGTTATTTGTTTGCCTCTTAATTATTTCTGATGTTTCATTTTATTTCTCTAAGAAATAATGAAGTTTACACTGTTGAAAGAATTTTAAAAATAGAGTTTATTTTATTCAGGTAAATCAGGTTAGGGCACTGTATACATGCATTCTTTATGGAACCTTTGTGCTTACCTCTTAACATCTAAACTTGTTCTGTCTTTAATGATTTATCTTGAGTAGTGAGTTCACCTTATTATCAGGGATGATCACTTTGGAAATTCTACTAAAAAGGGACAGTTACTAGTCACATAGTGGTTAAAAAAAAAAGGCCTTGGAATTTTCAGGGTGGATACAGGAAGAATACCATGTCTGTAGAGATGTAATGTCCCACAGAAGTATGGAATGAGGCTATTGGGTCTGTCTGAAGGAATATTTTTTGAAAGTGACCTGCGTCCCAAAGTTGACAAGCCTCATGTGAATTTCTCAATGTTGGTTTGGCCTATCAAAGCTATGGAATAGCAAAGTACACTAGACTAGGGATATATTTTGAATATGTATGCTTTTATATACTTTTTAAAAAATATTTATTTTTTAGTTTTAGGTGGACACAATATCTTTATTTTATTTTTATGTGGTGCTGAGAATCGAACCAAGTGCCTCACGCATGCTAGGCGAGTGCACTACCCCTTGAGCCACATCCCCAGCCCCTCATGTATATACTTTTCTGTATATACTTTTCCTGTGTATATACTCTTCAGCAGCACCTGTTTGTTAGAACTGTGGTAAAAATGTCTTCCTGAGTCAGAAGAAGGTGTGTGTAACAGATCTTAGGAAATGGCACTATTTATAACATTACCTATTGAGGGGTAGTGGAAAGAAAAACAGTGTTTGGATGTTTTCTATTAATGAGTATCAACAAAAAATTCTAGTTGTACTCTGTGAAATGTTAAAAGATATTTAGAGTAAATGATTGATGTATGAGATTGTAAGAGAAAGATGTATTGACTGTTAGGAAATTTAATTTTTATGAAATTAGCATTATAGGGAAATACTGTAATCTGATTCATTCCTGCAGAATTCCCAGTAGAAAGAGGCCCAGCCTTGGGAGTTGAAATGTTTCATTATGTACATGTGTGGGAAAAAGATGAAATGTGGTTTCCGTGTGCTGATTTTCTGAAAAATGTCTATTAGTATGAGGCAGCGAGGCTAGGCAACAAAGCCCCCAAACCACCAGGGTCTAGGGGAGAGTGAACACAGAAAGCACTTCTCTGATGGATATTGAAATAATAAGCAATAAGTTTGAAAGTATCCAGAAAAAGCAATATCAGTAAAATAATGTTGAAATAGTAGCTAAGGAATTGTCATATGCTGAAGATGAGGTCAGCTTTTTATCCCCATCAATCCGTAGTCAACGTTGCTTTTAGAAATGTAAGGTTCCCCCAAATTGAGGAAACTGCAAACCTAAGCTTTTTATACCAATGCTAATTTAACCAAGTTGTCCATCTTATAATGTAAACTATAATTAGAGGAGAGCTATTTATGTAATGTGAGCTACACCATCCCTGAGGCAGGGAAAAGCAGTACATTTGCCCCTGAGCTCTAGAGTAACAGGGCTTTGGCTGGCAGTGACAGCCCCAGTCTCTTAAGAAGCTGGGGATGGAAGAAAGAGTTGCCTGTAATAGTTTGTGCAAAAGAAGGGCATGAGCATGTCTTTGGCACTCTAAACCCTTCCAAACTCACATCATCTGAGACACCAGAGTCCATTTGCCCTTCCCAATCCTGAGGCCGTTAGTTGCTTCTCAGTTGTCTCTTTTCCTAATCAAGATTTGGTGTGGAGGTTCATTTTAATCCATGATGGCAGGCATTTGGGAAGAAAGTGGCACGTACAGAGGTATGGTTTACTCCTGTCTCTGAGACCCATAGGAGTGACACTGACTTCCAGTCTCTGGAGATGGCGGTGGAGATGAGTGAAAGCCAAGGCCTGATATAGCTGATGATACTGAATTCATAATTGTGCTTTCTGTTCTCTGTTGTTATTTTAGAAAGCCGGGGCTCTTCTTACTTCTTCTGGAATTAAACATCCCTCTGCTACTTTAGAGTAGATAAAATTCTCTGCTTGTAGCTCAAATGCCTATTATTTTAAAAAAGACCTTTGGAAAATCCTGGAGTTTAAAATGAGGAATATTTGTATTCTTTTAAAATTAAACCAAGTAAAGTACACTCTTTTGATTAAAATTGACTAAAGAATTGAATCTTTGAGGTGAGACCTTTGTTCTGCTCTATTAAGATGCTTTTCTAATGATTTAGGTGTTGGTGCCAGCCCATATGTGATGAACTGCAATGTTACAATAGATTCTCAAGACTTGTCTGTGGGAAGAGAGATAGCTCATGCCATTCGAGGATCCAGTGCACATGGATTGAAGGGTGTCCAAGCAATGGCTTTTCCCCATGAAGGGAAAATTGAGATAGCTTGCAACGTAGAGAGTTTTGAAAACCAAAAAACTACAGACACCTCAGAAGGCTCTCAATATGTGACTTATAGTGTTCTTGGGGACCGTTTTTCTTATGTGTCTCCACATTACATCGAAGCTCAAGTTAAAAAGTTGGCAAGTAATCAGGGAATTGGTACCATAGGAAGAGCGCTAGTTGGATTTACACCCCCGGAGTGCAAGAACTGTGCTGAATACGCTATAAAGGAAAATATTGGGGAATTCTGGAAGATTCGGGAAGGTGTTTTCATGTGATCAATCTAAGGCTTCACTGAAATTTTAAAGAAAATTATCAATCATTGCAAAATTTACTTTTGATCAATGAAGATCAGAGGAAGATACAAAGAACTTGGTTGCATCTGCGTATTGAAAAATTGGAAGCATTATTTCCTCAACAACAATAACAAATGCTTGTAGATCATCCATAATCACCTGTGATGTTTCTAGTCACCATCAAAACTTTGTGAGAGCCTGCTCTGTGTCAAGTACATTAGATGCCATTTTTTTTTAAATTTTTTATTGTTGGTTGTTCAAAACATTACAAATTTCTTGACATATCATATTCCACACTTTGATTCAAGTGGGTTATGAACTCCCACCTTCACCCCATACACAGATTGCAGAATCACATCAGTTACACATCCATTGATTTACATATTGCCATACTAGTGTCTGTTGTGCGCTGCCTTTCCCATCCTCCACCCTCCCCCCTCCCCACCTCTCCCCTCCCCTCCCCTCCTCTCTCTCTACCCCCTCCACTGTATAACCCTGAGGGTCTCCTTCCATTTCCATGCAATTTCCCTTCTCTCTCCCTTTCCCTCCCACCTCTCATCCCTGTTAAATGTTAATCTTCTTCTCCTGCTCTTCGTCCCTACTCTGATCTTAGTTACTCTCCTTATATCAAAGAAGACATTTGGCATTTGTTTTTTAGGGATTGGCTAGCTTCACTTAGCATAATCTGCTCTAATGCCATCCATTTCCCTGTAAATTCTATGATTTTGTCATTTTTTAATGCAGAGTAATACTCCATTGTGTATAAATGCCACATTTTTTTTATCCATTCGTCTATTGAAGGGCATCTAGGTTGGTTCCACAGTCTTGCTATTGTGAATTGTGCTGCTATGAACATCGATGTAGCAGTGTCCCTGTAGCATGCTCTTTTTAGGTCTTTAGGGAATAGACCAAGAAGGGGAATAGCTGGGTCAAATGGTGGCTCCATTCCCAGCTTTCCAAGAAATCTCCATACTGCTTTCCAAATTGGCTGCACCAATCTGCAGTCCCACCAGCAATGTACAAGTGTACCCTTTTCCCCACATCCTCGCCAGCACTTGTTGTTGTTTGACTTCCTAATGGCTGCCAATCTTACTGGAGTGAGATGGTATCTTAGGGTGGTTTTGATTTGCATTTCTGTGACAGGTAGAGATGTTGAGCATTTTTTCATGTACTTGTTGATTGACTGTATGTCCTCCTCTGAGAAGTGTCTGTTCAGGTCCTTGGCCCATTTGTTGATTGGGTTGTTTGTTCTCTTATTGTCTAATTTTTTGAGTTCTTTGTATACTCTGGATATTAGGGCTCTATTAGATGCCATTTTGAATAACCTGAGTAAGGTGGCCATAGTTGCTGAGCCACCTTTATGAAATAACAACAACAACAACAACAACAACAATAGACTCAATTTGGTTTTCCTGAACAATTTGTTTTACAATTGCTGGGACTGAACCCAGGGCTTTGTGCATGCGAGGCAAGTGCCCTACCCTCCCAGCGTGATTTTCCTGAATTCTGTATTCCCAAGTTCTGTACTCAACTTGTTTTTTTTTTTTTTTTTTTGAGTAGTCAATTTTTTAAAATGTGCATTTATGAAAATCATGTACTAAGTGATTAAAAAGTGGAGCAATTATAAAATAAAATCTTTCTTTCAAAGCATGATTGTCCTTTCTGGCTTTGCTACATTTAGAACGACCCATTGTTCATCCCAGAGATAACTCCATAAGCCAGATTTATCCAGGTTTTTATTGTTTATGTAGGGAGAGAGCATGGTGGTGTTGGGCATAACTTCAAGGAAGTGTTTATTGTTTTTGTAATTTAAATGGAAAGTCTAAAGGTTTAGAAATTGAGTACTTCTAAACAGAAAGAAAGATACTAGTGGAAGAAATTTTATTTGAAACAAACTAAAACATGTTACTTCTTTGTGAAGTAAAAGAAGCTACTTGTTGATTCCAACAGTTTTACATAAATCCTTAGTATTTGAAACATTTTAGTATAAATGCTTTCTGTTCTTAAATCTCAGAGAAATTAATTTTTCTACTAATTCTCTTTAGCAAAACTGATAATGAACTTCTCTAAAAAGAGCACAACATACAAGTCTATTTTAAGGGATTAAAAAGAGGTCAAACTCAAATTTTTTATAGGATCTGATGATCTAATATTTTTTAACTTACATTTGAGTCTGATTTCATTTGCCCTGTTCCAGAATTGTGATTTTGTATCTTCTTTTCTATACAATTACAACACAGATAAAAAAAAATGATGGACTAGGTGTGTTTTTCATATTTAAGGAATATTAGTTGCTCTGGTGCAGAAGGAAAATGCTGTCCATTGAGATCTGATGGGTCATGACAGAGAAATGATAAGTCCTCATTCCTCCTTGCTGTGACAGAAGCCACGTGACCCAGCAGAATAAGCACTGAACAATGGGTTGGTGGACTTGGTTCTGGTCCTTATTCTTATCCCCTACATAGCCACAGTTTCATTATTTATGAAACAGGGAAACTAATTTCTGCACTAAGAGCTGTGTTGGGGGCAATAAACATTTGTAAACTATAACATAAAAATGAAACTTATTAGTAGTAGTCTTTGCTAATATATTCTAGAACTTTTCTTCAGTTGGGGGAATCTGTATTGAATGGCAGAGAGGGGATAAAAGCATAAGATGCCATTGATTCTTTTGGGGTTGTAAGAGAGGTGGATTAATTTTCCAGTTACCAAGGTTAAGCTCTCCAGGTTCTTTTCTCTGTGTTCCAGACTGCTGGCTTTGGTCGAGACCTATGTGTAGCCACACATTTACTTACTAGGTATAGTGTTTCAGTTTTAAAAGATGAAAAATCTCTCGAGATGGATGGTGGTAGTGATTGCACAACAATATGGATATACTTATACTGAATTACATATTTAAGAATGATCAAAATGATAAAATTTATATTGTATATAATTATCATAGTTAGAAAAAAAAAGCATGTATTTGTTCCAAAAAAGTTAAGAAAAAAGACAAACATCTGAATAAGGTAATTTCACTGAATCCACAGTTTCTAAATAAAAAGTCGGCCAATTTCTAATATTCATTAATGTATACAAATATATGAACACTGTTTTCTCTTTTGAATCTATTATGATGGATTCCGCTGTTAACTTATGAAATTTGGTTTAGAATGAGGTTTTAGTTTAAAATAGAGTTGATAAAATTTGGCCTTTGATCCAACTACTTAAAAACAATAATTTACTATTTTATTATAATTTTCAAAACCAGCACAATCATACTTCTTGTCTCATTCATTTTCTGATTCCCCATCCTTCCATCATGGTACTCCAGGAAGTCTGAACCAGCTGTAGATTGCTGAGGTTTTCCCATGGACGGGCATGGCATCACCAGCTCTTGCTGTGCATGAACTGGCAGAATTAGCTGGGCGGGATCTGCAGTAACCAGGAAGGATTATCCCATCAGATTAAGGAAACCTGACCAAGTGAGCAAACCTCTACCCTGACTCATGTCAACCTTACCTCAGATTGGTCTCTTTGGAAACAGACCAGATTTGTACACATGTTTCTTTAGTACTTTTAAAAATTCATTTTGCCACAGAGTGGACATTGTATGGTGTGTGGCTTCACAGCTGGTTTCACCTCTCGCTCCTGCCCCCTGACTTTGCCCATGACTTGTGCCAGTTGTGGATAGGCCCACATCCATGCGGACAAATAAAATTTATCTTGAATCAACTCTTCAGTGTTTTTGTTCTACCCAACTTTAAACTTTAGCTTTGAGGTTTTTTTTTTTTTTTTTTTTTTTTTTTAAAGAGGGAGAAGGAAAGCAAGAAGCTAGACTATGAGGGGGATAAGGTTTGTTTGCGTGTGTATGGGTGGGTGGGGGGTGTCATTTGTTTCCAACCTAAATTTGGTTTGTCTCATGATAAATTAAAATATTTCAACAAAAGGCCAGGGTGGGGGGTAAGTAAAATATAACTGTGAAATAAAACAAAATGGGGGGTAATATTTTCATTCCCTGACATAATGAAAAGCCTTGTTCTGTAATTGGTTTGTACTGTCTTGGAAGTGGCGTCCGTGGTCAACAAAGGACCACTCTATGAGAGATCTGCAAGGAATTTATCATTCCCTCTGGCTGAGCCAAAGCAGGCTTGATAGACAGTTTTGTTTCATATAAATATTCTCATGTTACTGTTTACTCTGTGGGAATATGAGGATCTCACTGACAGGGTACGTGCTCCACTGCCTTGCTTTTAAAGGCATTTATTTGACTCTGTTGTTTGTACTTGCCCAGAGACTTCAGAGAATGGCCCAGGAACTTGTTTGATAAGCATCCAGACCATGCTCCCAGAGTACATTGTGCTTGGGGGTTAGAAAAGCTTATTGTTTTAAGCAAGCTGCACATGGCTTCCAAGGAGCCCATTTTTTGTAGGTAAGAACAATTAGGACATAACAGCAATCTCTTAGAATGCTTCTTGAAAATGTAAGCAAATGTGCCAGTGAGCATGGCTGGGGTGGAACTCAGACTGTCTTTGGATTATTCTGCCAACTTTCTTTGTCCCTAGTTGTAATGTTTTGAGACAAATTAGCTTAGTATAAGTTAAGATGTGAGAAACAGACCTAAACACGGGACAGATTTCTCTTTCTGCAATTTTCTTGTGTATGTTCAATCTATTGTCTCTCGGCTCTGCACCCACTCTTCCATAACTCGGCTTTCTGATGTTGGCACTCTGCAAACCACATTTTTTCTTAGCCAACTAGTTTTCTGCTCGGCTCTCATATGTGGGGTGCCAGACAGGGAAGGCTACAGGCTGGAGAAGGGAAGGGGGCTTGCTTTTTGCTGTTACTGTCTATGACAGCCCCAACTCAGCAGTAGTTCTTCACCCTGATGGTAGCTCTTGATTCCAGGCTCCAACTTTTTTTTGTGACACTTTCAGAATTGGCTTCATCATGATCCTCAGAAACCCCAGCATGAGCTGAGCAGTGCCTTATCCTCAGAGGCCTGAGCCCCGGGTCTGGAAGGCCTCTTCACTGAGCCTCCTGGACTCTGAGAAACCAGCCTCTGTTTCTTCAGCTGTAGTGGGTAGTTCTTGCTGCAGCTATTTTAAAATGTCATGGTCCTTTTATTTTTTTAGTTTTCCAGCAGCTGCTGAGCAGTTTTTACGTTATTTCTTTTGAAGTACTAGATGTGGTTTCTGTTTTATTTTGACTGGGCCCATAGTGGGTCCTGTAGAAACAAACCAATCAACTGAACAACAGAGAGCAGGGAGAAGAAGGCAGAACATTTGCTGAATGAACATTGTTCCCAGTGGAACTACAGCATCACCATTGATGGTTACTCTCTTTTTCTTCTCATTAGCACTTTATTATCTTATCTGTTTTAATTTTGTCAAATTCTGTGTTCCCTGTGACATTCTTACTATTTCAACTAGTAGAGAGCTGAGTGTTGACTTGAAGTAAGGGTGGGA